TGAAAATAAACATTTTTAGATATTCCTTAAGAAAGAAAGAGTTGTCCATTACATTAGGCCTAATGAAAAACTAATTGTCTTTTCTAGATACATTGAAATGTCAGACATCATCGTTTCCTGCAATTGGTGTACTTCTACATTATAAAAAGAAATACAGTAATGTCTCAAGCCTTTTGGAACAATATGAAAGTTATTCCTCAGCTACCAGCACTAAAAAATCTCTCAAAAGTGGAAAATTGGTCGTTAACACGTATAGTACCTTTGGAAAATATTATATGAAAGATTGGTTCAGCTAAAAGTGGTGTAAGTCATGTAGGGGGTTTTGTTTGCTCAAGATATAGCCTAGTCGAAATTGCAAATCATCTTCCTCTAGGACTTTCCGAAGCAGGCATAATAGTATTGATATGATATAGTAACTGGGTAGAGAATATCAATAAACATTCCACATCTGCAAATGCATGTTTAGTAATTAAAATATTTAACACTTTTAAGACAATTGACGATTATGCACTGTCACACTTCTTAGGTCGTGTAAGGAATAATTGCATTTAATTTATATTTAGACCTGTTTTACGAATGCTTTGGTTTTCACAATACACCTTTATTTGTCAATATCATACAGCTATTCACTGAAACATATATGTTTTTGTAAGTCAGAATATTTAATACTAAAAACAGAATTACTGTATACACAAATCAGGTCAAACGTTAAAATACATTTTTTATAGTAACCAAAACAAAATGCATTTTTCTCAATGTGATTCATTTAGGCACCATGGCAAGAAATAGTTTATTGATCAATATAAAGCAACTGTTTCATGAAGAATTGTCTGTAGCTTCATTTAAATGGTTTCAACTAACAGCTGTAGGAATGTTATTTTTATTTATTGCCTTCTCCGCACAAATGTAAACAATCTGCACAAATCTAAACAAAATAAATGTTGAATATTTAAGATTTTCAGAATTTTTCACCGAAACAAATATCATACTTAAACATAATATATAAGGTACCAAATAGAAACTCTCCTGGTTATTTTGGTGGTGGAACCACACTGAAAGAATCACAGAGAAATTGGTGAACATACATAGAAAAAAAACATCGCCACAAACAAATTGAGAACCTCCTCCTTTTGTTGGTAGTGGGGAAGTCGGTTAAAAATGTAATAATGAAAATCGCATCATTAATGTATAAGGTAATTTATATATTTATCAACGGCACTGCCAATATAACAATATATTATTTACAAGTTGATGAAATAAACAAAATAACGGTTAAGATATACGAGTTCATTTTTTTATGTTAACTTTTTTGATAGTTTGTTTACAATAAATGCAACAATATGGACTATTAAAAATTAATATTCAAAATTGATCATTACTGACAAAAACTGTAACTGTGACTGTTATTTATGGGTTAGTTGAATTTATGGTTTGTATTTTATGTGTAGTTACATACAATACCCTCCCAAAAAATATAAATAGCCATGTAAATGTACATGTTTCATGTAAGTCATTTAATGCCAAATTAAAGCTAGGTTAGTTTCACCTACTGTTTGTAATTATTGTTTTAAATGTATTATTTTTTGTTTGTGACTTGAGTTTTCTTGAAAACTAGTTTTGACTACAGGCATTTTATTACTTTATTATTATTATTATGTTTCTATATTAACATTATTATTTCATTATTATTATTATTATTTTATTATTATTAATATTCAAAAGATTATTGCAGACGTTCTATCACAATTTGGAAAACAATTATTTTTATGACATTTAGGGAACTGGGCGTTTTAAATCCTTTTCCTGTAATGTTTCGATCTTTACTGGGCTAAGAATGGGATCAGTTCCAGTGTTATTTATAGTAATCTGATAGATAAATAAAATTTTGTAAACCGATAAATATAATAGAATTACTCGGGAGCAACATGTATATAATTACGTTGAAAATCGTTTAAATCACTTTCTGAAGTCGTACAGAGTTACAGTACAAATTTAATTATTTGATTCTTATTAAACTACCATCAATATGAAGACTTTTATTTTCCCAAGGGGATAGAATGAAAAATACATGATGGAAAATTTTACCGCTGATTAAATTTAATCAAATAGAAATATTCTTGTAGTTGAAAGACTAATGAAAATGAGTTTAGTATCAAAGTTATGGGATTACTTCCCAAGTTTTCTTCTATTAAAACCACTTTGTATATTACTTTAAAGGAAATTTTCTAAAGAATAATCAAATAGGATGATATGACAACATAAAAAAACCCATAAACTGTTATCCCCGAATTTTTACTATATTAAATCATTTAATTGTAATCGTGTGGTAGTGTTTTGAGACTTCTATTTTGTGATCTGAAAATTCTCAAACAACCTTCTTGCAGTTAGTTTAAGGGTTCGATTGGTTTTGTTTTGGCATTTAAGCGAGCTCTTTGAGTTTAGCATAACCATAAAATTGGTTACATTTATCCAGATGTGCACAATTGTTTTACTGCATCACTCCAAAAATGTAAATTGTACTGTATGAGTCAACTGTATCATGCTTGAGTCTCTTTCCTAGAGACAATTAATTAGATTAGATAATGTCAGATGCAGGTTACCTATTAGGGTTTTGATAACTAAGCTAGTTGTAGGGTACTGAACTGTATTACTATCTGCCCTAGTCCATCCGTATGAATAATACACAACTGAAATATAATAGCATATTTTAAAATAGTTAACCGATTCTTTCCAACGAAAGCTTGACTTTCTATGGTAACGTGCACGCATCCTCCAATACTCAATTACTAATAGTACTTTATATTTATGACGATTGTATAACTTTTTATCTAAATTCCAAAAAAATCTCTGAAACAAGGACTGCGAATAAGATATTAGAAGGTAATGAATGATAGATGTTACAAATGATATTGTTAACTTAATTACTTACTTAATAACTCTTAACTTGCTAACATTAACATAACACAATTTTGCCTCGAGAATAACATAACTTAATGAATACATTTACTATTTGTTTGGCAAATGAAAACTCTTTTCCATATTACCATTATCTAAAAGTAAACTATCACTCACATATTACCAAAACAACACCTATGTTATAATATCATTTAAACTTTAATTACTGCGGAATTTTCACCATCGAAATTTAACTGGGGTTTTACGGAGCTACTGTGTGTTACCCTTTTTTAGTAGAATAACAAAATTTGTTCTACTGTTGTTTCTATAAAATCTGTTAAATATACGATTTGTGTGACTTAAATTTTTTTCTGAGGCAGTAGTTGGTTAATTTTTATGAAAGTTGTCTGAAATCATCAGTTTATCTGAACGCAAACAGTTTCAATGTAGATGCGTTGTCAGAGTCGTACAATACAACAACCTTATGCACTTGCTCAGCCAAGTAGATGGTTATCATCACAGTCTGTGCCAAAGAACTAGCAACGTTGGAATTGGGAGGTCGTTTCCAACATTTTGATTTTAGTACGGAGAGTTTCAAGGACAAAATCAATGTGTTATGAAAAAGTTTGACCCAATTTAAGTTGGGTAAAATATGTTTAGGTGGGCTTATAATTATGTTTATGTATCACCATTGTAGTAATCCATTTGTTTTTTAGCATTACAAAATGTATTTTTTTATAAGACAACAATCATTACCATATCCCAAACTCAATCTTCAATATACTGTATAATCATTAATTAATCATCCCAAATAAATTAAGTGTTTTAAAAGTCAATATAAAAAAGGAAATAGCAACAGAATAATCATTGAATTTTACAGTAAAAATACATAATATAGTAAAAGTTCAATTCTTATACATGATTTCATTGAATTGAGAATCAGTTGTGTGGTGTGTTAAATGCAGTTAATGAAAAACTAATTCCTTCACAATTTCAAAACCCTAGACGCCATTTTTAGGATATGATTTTTAATACCTATGGTAAAACATACGATTGCGTTAAGGCGTAACAGTATAAAATTCACAAATGGTTTCATAATATACAAGAGGTACCTAAGGAATTCCGTTATAGAACCGTGTTACCTGATAGATTAAGCGGGTCTTAATCAATCATAGTATGTCAGCTACTTTACTATAATCAATGTATATAACTAATGTAAATGTATCCAAACAGTTATGAACAGAGAACATTTTAGGGACACTCACTTGCCTAATGGGTACTAAAACGTTCGGATACTACAAAGGCCTGGAAGATAATCTATTATGGCTATTTGCATACGAATCGTTTGGAGAGAGGATACCATTTAAAAATAATTCTGAGGGAGGAATATGAAAATAGACTAAAACAATAATATACTTTCCTTTCTTTTGATTACACGTCCTAAACAGATTAGTGTAAATTTTAACCATAAAAATGTCAAATATTTATTGATTGACTTCGTTGGAATTTGTTGTCACTCTACCTAAAAGAAATTTGATTTCGTTCATTTATGTGTGGTGTCATATTATTTCAATTTAAATTAATACACACCCGCCATACCCGAAAGTATGTATCATTTATTGCTGTTCAAATATGTTATTGTAGGAAATATGAGTGATCAGTACAAAAAATTTAATATTTAAAAAAACAATATATGGTTATTATATGAAATAAAAATACCATGTTTCATTGATTCAGTTGTTAAATGAGTTTAACGCATGGACCATGTACAGTGTTTACAATGCTATTAAATTTGCTTTTTTCTTCCACAGTTGGCAAATATTTTGTCTGACTATGCAAACAAATTTTAAAATATCGTTATTAATTGAGTTTTCTAGGCTATTAAGAGCATACGGAGGAAAACGTTGTAATTTCAAGCCATTCCTTTGTGGTTAATTCCTATGAGGAATGTGTTAAATATAAAAACATAAAAAGTAATCACTTTAATTACAGCAAATAAATAAAAACAATCGAAAGATTCGTAAGGTATAACTTGGAAGAATGTATCTGTCAGCAATCATTGAGCCTAAATGGTTAAGCCTTATTATTTAAGAGATATCATCTTGTTAACAGCCGACTAACGAGACTCTGCATAGCATGTCAGAACATGCAGCCAAACACGCAGCGGGGCCCGCATCACCTTCAACCTGAACAGGTACATGTTATATTAAAATCAAATCTATTTGAATATCATGCAGCTTAGTCATAATTTAGGAATACCATCACTATCGTTAGTGTTTCTCTTATGAAAATTTTTAATGAGCTTTAAAACACTGCATATATTTAAAAACTCGTTTTCCCTATACCCACTGATTTCTTATAAATTAACTGTGTTAGGAGTTTATAATCATGGCCATGGGATCAATAGCTATACCATTGAACAAAACATACTCCCTTAGTAGATTCCCCATCCTTATGGAACAGCTGAAGTTAATTTTATCGTTAGTTCTGTCCGGTGAACTGTAGATGTCGTGTTTTTTACATTTTTTCTTGTTATTTCAGTCATTTAAAAACTCGTTTGACCAAATAATACGATATAATCATAAACAATAACTCATATTCTAGTTATATAACCAAACAGTAAACCACATATCATGAACGTAACTCTAAAATAATAGAAACAAAATTTCATCGACACTAGACACCAGTATCACTAGACATCAACTAGACAAGAAAAGAGAAGCTTCAAAATTTACAATGGAATGGAAAGTCTACTTGTGTTGGTAGGTCTATAAGGTAGACACAGGTAGGCCAATTAGGTATACAAATATTTTAATCTCAACTGATTGTTGGAAAATCGTTGTCAGCACTGTAAAATTTCACGAGATTTTAATATTATAACTTTATACCTTTTAAGACAAATCACTAATTTTGTTTCGGGTACAAAAAAAAACTCCAATGTGGTCAAGGCTGCTAACAACGATCATTGAAACGACAATAGGTAATGTAAGCTTTATATTTTTCTCTGAATGAATAATGATTTCCTATTTCTATCAGTGCCAACACCTCAGTTGGCATTCCTGGCACGATTCTCAACTAAAGTCACAACATATGTCTCCACGTGGCTGAGTTATTACTTCAGTGGTTTGTGGTCTGGTTCAGAGAACATAATTGATTTTAGATATTTTTCTTGCTTTCCACATTTATATTTTTAGTGTGTAGTGGTAGAACTAGTGTTGATTCTCAGTTTGAACAGTATTGAAAATTTGTAAAGAATGTCTAGTCTCATTACTTAAATCAATAGAGGAAGTAAATTGTAACACTTACAGTATTGACATAAGTAATAACCACCCCTATACATTTTCTAAAGTTAAAAGTCACTTCACGAACTTACAGTAAATGACCGTTTTTGAGTGGCGAGTGGAAGTGTGTGTTTGTTAAAATCCTCCATACTTTTGGCGAAAGCCTTCTCGTCATTCTGTAACTTCAAAGCTGATTTGAGGCCGTCTTCCGACCATCTCATATATATGACCAGAGAAACTGACCCCACCTGAAAGTACAGTTCTGTGTTATAAAGTTTCAGGCATCAGTTAATTGTTTAGAATTTTACTCATCAAGGTGGAATTCTTTAATAAAACTTTCTAAACTTCCTATATACAGTACAGTATCACTGACTTTTACCAAACACATCTTGGTTTCCTGTTATACCAGTCATACTTTGATTTTGGAATTTTACAACTGAGTTTGCTAATAAAGATTTTTATGAAATGTGTTAATTTAACTAAAGTTCTACTAATCAAAAAACTTACTAACCATAATCCAACCTAGGTACTCAAAATGCTCCAAATTATAGAATAAAGTGAATCATAACTGCTAACCTAGGCCCACGTTAAGTTGGGTTACAGTAAGTTAGAATAAATGTAGTTATAGTTTTGTAGATTTTACAAGGCAAAAATCAAGTTTTGGTAGGTATAACAGGACAGATTTTTTTTTATGTCCAAACTATCAAAATCTAATCTTGGCCTATATAAAAAAATATTCTTAGTATAAAAATGCATACAAAAATTATTTCTAATCCTACTATGGTCTTTTTAATCACGAGTATAAAATTGTGCCTCTAGATTTATTCAAAAATATATCACGAAAGCTGCAGCCAGTGGTAAGCAATTACTGTTGTAGACACTTGACTGTCACAAAAAACAAACAGCTTCTGCGAATCAGCTGTCAATCGAGCTGACGCTTTGGATTACTAATCCCTCTAACAAGCTTGTACATGTTGTGGCCAGAGAAAACTGACATTTTGTTGGACATTTCATAGGATCTCTACTTCAGAAAAATCTGCCGCGGTAAAAAAGGTTTCAATATTATTGTGAGGCTAACAGTGATATTTATTCTTTTTACATGTGGCAATATGTTTACCTAATTTTCTTTTTCGACAATTGCAAATCTATTATTATTTATATTTTTTATACATTTTCAATTTAACAAGGATGAATTTAACATCATTGTTTGTATAGGTTAACCTAATAATCTGTTAATTGTTTGGCGTCTTCATATATTCTTATTATTTAAATGGGATTTTATTTTTTTTAATAAAAGTATTGGACAAATTATATTCGAAAAAACCTATTGTTACACTATGCTGGTACCTCAAAATGCAAAGAAATAACCCTAATTTTGAATGTAAATTTAAAATTTGCTGGGCATTAGTGGGTTAATGTCTCGTGGCATCAAAATATTTAGAAGACCTAATAAAATAGTAAATAGCAATTTTACGGACTCACGTGTTCTTAAATGTATTTTGTGCATTAATCACTGAACTTATATAATCATACAATTTCTGAACCTTTCTTTAATCTATTGTATTATTCTTTAGACTATCATATATCTCTTGCATTGGTAAAGTTTCAACTCATGTTGCATAGAAATGGTGGATACATTTCATACTTAAATCCTAAAACCAACCCCAAAGTAAGACTTCTCTGCGTTTTAAGGATATCCTGGGTATGCTAATACTTACCAGAGAACAGAAACCAAAACCATCATTTTAAGTTATGATATCTAACTAATTTTTTGTAAGTGCATTGCAAGTCATACTAAAATAATTCTTTATAATCATTTAAGTCTCTAAAATGAATACAAAGTTTAGTTACGATTCTCTTGAGCATCTTAGCCTGGCACTTGCAGCGGGGAATGTCGGAGAATACAACCCCTTTGAGTCCCGGAGAGCGAGCTAGTAGTGACTCAATGATCAGGTCCTCCAATATACTCTGGAAAACAAATGTGCTGTAAACGAGCAGGCTCAATGTGTCGATTCTTGTTCTGCATATCAAGTATCCAATTTAATATATGTTGTTATCTGAGTTTGCTAGAATATTGATAAAACACAACTGTGTTGGTTAGTATATGGTTATACCTTCTAAAACTATTTTTACAATGAAAAACTGACCATGTTATGTATTTTAATAAATCAAAAGATTTACATTTGGTTTCAGAAAGGGTTTAAAGCTTAAGGCTCATTCTACGAGTACTATCTAGAATATAGTTTGCAACGATGATACATAATAGCTAAATAGTGTTATAATAAAAATTGATTAAATCTTTTATGAAATTGGACACATTAAGAGATGTAAAATGGTTAAACGCTTGCGGAAATTAATAGTAGGCATATATGTCATCACTAGGGCCTAAAGTGACTCTTTTTGACCCGACGTCAAGTTTTATGATCAAGGCGAAGCCGAGGTCGGAAAATGAGCGAGGGTTAAAAAGGCACTTTTTACCCATGTGGTGAACTATATTTTTACTTCATTTTGCATCATTAGTTAACAAACTAAGCTAGAAAACTAAATAATTGTACTTAAAGATAACTTCTCAAAACCACTTCCAGCTAGTTATAAATTCTGCTAATGCAAATAAGCAGCTGTTTAGTAAGTGATTCAATAATTTCGTCTATTACGATTGTGTTACTATACCGTCGATATGTTGAGCTATCGACAGAAATAGGCTAATTGCCACAATAAAAATTGACAAGTGTTTACAACAGCAGATTTTTACTTCCTTGAGACCGAAATGATTTTTACTCCCTAGAGAGTAAAAATGCTACTTTAGACCCGCAACGTATGCATTACAACGGATGTTGTTTTGCTGCATTATGACGAAAAATTGGGTTAAATAACTTATAAATAGTCAATTATGAATGTTTTAAAGAAATGTTTAATACATTTACGTTCTGCAACATTTCTATTTTTTATTGTAAAAACGCATGAATCTAAAATCTGAAATAAAACACCAGGTTTATAAAAGCCTAGATAATCTCAACTTTTTCATTGTTTGTTTTATGAAATTTCATTTCCGCAAATAACTTACAGTAATTAGTTTTTAACGTATTGTAAACCCCGATCTCAAAAACTGCAATTTTAAAATGTATTAAAAAATAATATAATACTGTACTCTTCTTTAACATAAACTTGTCTGCTCTCATACAGATGTAATCCTATTAGGGTATTTGTCACCGCGTATCTCAGAGTTGCATTGTTGTGAATTTTCGTTTAATATTAGAGCTTTAAAGTCTCTATAATGTTGTCGGGTAGCTGTTCGGGCTGAACACACACGCACACACACACAAAATCCGTGACGGTCGTACTAGTAGCATCCGCTTATACGTCACACCCATTTGGCCTTAACACTGGTTCCCACGGTATGGCCATAGGAATTACATTACATTTAAAAGTAATGTAGTAAGGTCAAATAAATATATGTAAACAATTTTTCATGTCCATTCCCATAAAATTAATTATATTCAAATTTTCTTTGAGTGTACTTATATAAGCCTATTTTCAAATATTGTATACTTTGCATGGGCTGGAATGGAAAAAAATTATGAAACATCTTAAATAGTAAGGTAGCAAATATGGCTAAGAATGTAACTGGTTGTAAATTAAGACAAAGGGGATAAGTATGTAAAAATTCATCAATTTGCATACACGGTTTATGGCTTATGTTATTTATTTGCTGGAAGATTTTCAGACTTATCTGAAGTATTCGGAGAATAATTAGCTGCATAAAAAAGTAAACATAAAAAACAATGGAGGAAATATTTCATTAAAGAAACGATTCTAACCCTAGATCCTTGGGTGGCTAAGAACAATATCATATCAAACTTTTGGTATTGCTGATCGTGTAATTCCAGTCACAAGAATTATATTTCATCGATATTTAAATGGTCCAATGTCATTATTGATCATCCCCTTTTAATGGGTTATATCGATCTCTAATCGAATATTATCAACTTGGCTAGCTAAAATAATAATAAGGATGTTAAGCCATACCATGGACACAAGGCCGTTATCTTCCAAGATGGCTTTAACCACTCGGCCTCGGTCGCTATCTGTGGCGGCCTCGGCCTCTAACAAAGACTTCTCACTGATAGCCTGGTAGCCATGTTTGTTGGCTATCAGATCTCCCAGGTCTAGAGCAGCATCAATCACTGGACCTTAGAAAATGTATAAAACTGAATTTATAACTAAGTTCACCGTGATACACTGTTGTGTTTTTTCTCATGTGTCCTAAAATGTATACCAAACTTGTTAATTTTTATAGTTAGGCCTACACACTTATAAAGCACATATATATATATTACCACGTGGAACATTTGTTATACAGTATTCTCTTTGGTCCGTTAGTGTTCAAATGGTCTTGTAGCCTCAATTTAATTTTGCATGCTATTATTACAAGTAATTATGTCTAGTTTTGTAACTTAAATGATAAAGAAATGCTTGTTTTTTTACATGGATAGTTGGAATTTTCCTTAGATATGTTTTATTCAATTTCAAACATCAAACTACTTACCAATATGCTGTAGGAAATAAAAATAATACCAACGTGCATTATCTCCATACGATTTCACAGCTTTTTGATTGTAGGTGTTCATAATGTTATCTCAGGCTATGATGTATGATGTATTTATGAATATATATTGTGTTTTAAGCAGATATATTCTTACCTATAACCCATATGTGAACTGGTTCGGAGTTTTTAATGTGAGTTGTGCCGTATTTTTTCTTGAATTTTACAAGTTCAGCCTGCAGAAAGAAACCAATTATGATGATATGAAACCAAATATCGATTTGAAATTTATATAAAAGAAATGTGATGCTTACAGTTTACAAACCAAGCGTGATGATTAAATACTCAACCTGGCATAAAATCACTTTTTTCAACCAAATAAGCGTAAAATCGTTTTTTTTACAACATAAATAAATTCATACATTTTTCACTATTCCAAAACCAAAAAGAACGTTCATAACATAACAAAATTAAGATTTGTAAAAAAAAACCTTTGATACAACTACTAATTATTTAAGCTGCATATCTCACCGTAAAGTGTTCAGACTTGTTAGGAGTTTATAATTCTAAACAAGATTTATTTTTAAAACTTCAAAACCTTTGTATATCGAACAAAGCCGAAAATGTTTTAGTTCTTTTTCATTCTCTAGCCCCGTTGAGGGGAAAATAAATTGCTAATGTATATTTTGATGATTTTATGTGTTTATCTACTCCAGTCTATTTTTTTTTACTTTTGTTTGTGAGGGAACAGCACAGTTGGCACTGTTGTCTTATAATGATAGTGCTTGGATTCGAACTAGCAAACTTCAGATTTTAAGGTCAACTCTATGATCACTTGCCTTACCAAGCAATTATGATGTATGATACGTGTTTATTATAAATTATAACAAAAGATTTTCTTCAGGATTAAACAATAAAAGATATCTTGAATAATATCTGTACACATATCACTATACTCTAACTATTATTACAATTTTAGGTTGTAACACAGCCCTGCGTATTTTTACCGAAATTTAGGTGAAAGTGGGTCGAGTTTGATATGGAGGTGAAGATTTTTGTACTTCACTCTTTACTTAAACCTGTTGCTATTAAAAGTGTTAACTGCTTATTAAAAATACAGTTATATGTGTATTTATTAACGTTCAATATTGCATAATATAATTATGATTGTATTAACGGAAGGAAACTATAGTGAAATTAAAAACTAAGAACCTACGGAGTTATTATACAGTGTGTGTTTTAACGCAATCCATATTACATGTACTATAAGACACTGTGAAACGATAAAAAAGAACACATTTCAGTATTTTTTATTTCATTGCCAATCAGCTGATATGCATTGTTGCATAAATATCTATAGCGTTAGTGTTATGAATGTATTGTGAATAAGTCTCAACTTGGCGTTTTCACAAGCCCTATTCATGCATGCGAAAAAAACATATTACGTCTTATTTTAAATCAATGAACAATAACTAAAACTCATATATAACTTGAACGATACTTCTAGGCTGATTGGTAATAAATTAAAGAAAACAAGGATAGGCCTACCATCACATTAGCTTGTTGTGTTGTTCAACGTGTCTCACGGTAGTTGTAATTATTTGGGTTGCGTTAAAAAACATCTGGAATTATTTTAACCGTTAAAATATGTAGGATGTGCCTACAGTCCTTGAATAAAAAAAACGGTTTTGGTCACAAAACGAATTTTAGACTCATGTTTGAATTAACTGTTGAGCCCGATACCAGATTTTCTTGAACTTAATGCTTTGGTTCTTTAAAATGAAGGATGTCTACTTTTGTATGGAAAAAAGACAAATTGTATAGTAAAATCAAATTGTAATTTGTATGCAAATTCACTTTGCATCAAGGATGCTCGGCTATATCAGTTAAAATGGAAGTCGTATAATCGTATCTAAATTATAAAGATATTTCAACGGGTCCGTCTCTCAGAGTCTGCAAAGCTAGTTTCAAAATGTATCTTGCTAAATGAACACGCTTTAGTTTATAAAACGTGTTTGCTTCATTTTCTTTTATAAAAATGTACATTTCAATGTTTGCTTTTCTAAAACAGATCAAAATAAAATAAACAAAATCTTTGTAATTAAATACCCTCCTTTTAAGGAACACAATTTGTCTCAATTGATTTGTATTCTCTGTATTACACTATGAGAGTACCTAATAAGAACAGCAATATTATTAAATATTTTTTTTTTCAATTTCATTTAATAAATGCCTTGTAATTACAACCGCATCATGCATCTTCCATAGGAAATTAGTCTCGTCATAATATAATAATTACAATGTTTTAACGACAGCTCATATCGTACAGGATTTAGTATTCTATAGATATTATGTATTTTAAAAATCGTCAAAAATTTTATTTACTGATATAGATTTCTCCTGGAATTTTAGTTAGATCTTGTAACTTCACTTAATTATGATATTAATTGATTAAATCCTCAACAATACACCTAATCTATTGTAGACAAATCTAATAAAGTCTTTTCATAAAATTCTTAGTTTATATGAGTATTTTGTCACTTGTCAATACTAACTATAATTGACTACTCCACATTATTTTAGAAAATTTTGCATTGACTTACTTACATTTCTAGGATGCAGTTTCGACTCGGAACATCCCATGTTCACTCCTCTACTCAGCTACACAGCTACTACATACACTACATACTGTTCACTGGTAGCTCCAGCTCCACGGGACACTATTGTACTTGGAACACAATTGACTAGACTTCCTCTATCGAATCAATCGTCGAACACCTATCATTGTTTAGTGTTATTCTCACGTTGGGTTAACTAAGTAATGTATATAATATGTATAATTGTTGCAATGGTTTGCTGAAAAGTTAAATCAGCAACCAAAGCTTGAGATTACTATAAGCCATACATATTTTGTGTCTAGCATTTTTCCTAAGCTATTATTACAGAAAGTAAATAATGTTTTGTTTAGTGCTATAAATAGTGTTAATTTGTCAACACGCAATTCAGTGCCTACTAGTATATTCTGTATCTCACTGCCTCAAACAGAGCATATCCAGTAATAGATTTTACATATTATAATTTATTTTACTATTAATTTTGTCAAATAAAATTTAAAGTTTTGTTATGTAAATATGACTATGGCAAGATAATGTTTATCTCATACTTGGAATTTTAAATCAAAAGTTAAATAATGGTACACATGTCCTCTTCTAAGAAAATAATTGATCATTACACTAACCAGTTTGTATGCATGTTATATGAAAATATTGTTTTGCTACCCTACCCTGGTAGGTAAAAATGTATAATTTTTTTAACTCTTTGATAGGTAATTGAAAGTTTTTTGTGGATTTTGCTTTGGAGGATAATGTACTTGTACATATGATAATCTGTAATTTTGCCTATGAACACAAATTGGTGAAAAGAAATAAGCTTTATCATTGATACTAATCATGTCAACTCATAAATGAAATAGTAAGACGTGTTAAAAATGAATTTATAACACATGGATTGCATATGATATTTCAACTATTGTACTGTAGTTTTAATATTTTTCAGGGGTTTTTTAAGAATGTTGGTTTTTGTGCAGACATTAAACTTGTTTGAAGTAGAGATATTTTTTGAATACGAAAACATTACAAACATTCTGGCATGTTGCACTTGCCATGTCAACAGCTTTATGTTCGCTCATCTATGTTCAAGTAATTAGCTCCGTTGCAAACAGGACTTAATTGAAAAATTCCGACCGAGTTTTAAAAAGCATCCATAATTTCAAATTCTACTCCAGTGACAAATTAAATCAACTCAAAATAGCTTCTTATTACTATTTTTCTTTTTTGATGCTCAGTAATTTGTGAATAAACTTAACGAATTTCTACGTGTTATTAATTTAGGAATATATATCTTAGGAAACATACCGAATTATTATGCATTTAGAATTTTATAATAATATATGTTCAGAGAAACTTACCTACCACTATTCTGAAATTCACCAGTTCACATCCCATGCATGTATTAACACACCATTAGAACAAGAATCAAGAAATAAGCCATGGTTTTGTTTTAAAGAACTGAAATAGTTATTTGTGTAACTAGTGGTGAAAGTGGCACTTTGCTGCACACGAGAGCAATGTTTACGCACGAGCCGAAGGCGAGTGCGGAATGATCTCGAGTGCAGTAAAGGCCTTTTTCATTCGTGTTACACATTATATTTCTCCTACAGTCCCTATAAAGCATATAAATAATTAGTCTTTCAAACACTATACAACACGTTTTTAGGTTCAGCTGGCAACACAAATGGTGCCCTAGAGAAAGTAGTACCCGTGGTCCGTATCACTCTGCTATCTTTCCTCGGCAAGCAATGTGCTCCGCGACTTGAGAATATAGTTCCGTATGTTTTTGTAATTTGAAGTGGTTTCCGCTTCTAAAAAATGCTTTAAAGGTATTTTCTTGTTTATTAAGATCGTAGGAATGTTTTAAAAACGTTTAAAAGAAAAGTCCAGAAAGTTCAGAAATACCGAAACTATAAACACGAAATGACAGGTTAAATCGTAGTTATAATAGTCAATCAGCTGCTCATAGTATTATTATCTTTAAGTGTTGCCAACCTATTTCCAAGCGTACACGGATTACGTGCATAATAGAACCACGCTGTTTTGTGTTGTTTCGTTGGAATCCTGATGTGCGGCAAAGTATAAACCGTACGACAAAGTATAAACAGTACGGCAAAGTATAATATGCAGCAATTAGCAGCTTTCTGTAATATAAACAGTACAAGGAAGCCAACTTTGTCGGGTGACTATAGGAAAAACATTATATATGTATCAAAAATACTTATATTTGTATAATAAGAGAGTTCCATGGTAAATGTCCAAATACCCTACATCTGAAACAATTAAGCCATTTTGTTGGAATATAAGGGACCTATACATCACATTTATGTTAAAAAATAAAGGTTTTCAGCCAATGTATCAATTGTAATACACTTACACTTTTCCAAAGTATCGTCAAAATATTATGTTTTCAGATTTAATCATAAACATACACAATACCGAATTACTTATCTTTTGATAAAATGAAACATAAGTTTTCATATTTGATTGTTGAATCTACTTGAAGGTTGTCGAGTAATGCTTCGCTTCTTTAATAAAGATGTAATTTTCTTTTCGTATTGTTGTTTAGCAGAGTGGAAAACTACCTTACCAGAAACAAAGGCAGACGTAGCGCGGCCCCCGAGCGTGTATTTGCTTGGTAGCGTTTCCTGCATGTTTACATGCTATGATAACAACAACAAAAGTCCAAGGTAGCATTTGGATTTGCATTTTTGTAGCAAAACGTGTTGTTATATCTCTTGTAAACACAATCTTTACTCGATTCTTTCATATTTTAAACCTCTAATAGTATGCGTCGACACATCTTTGCCTCCTACAAAACGTCAATTATTCATTTAATGCTTTTTATTTAATTTATGCTCATTTAATGTTTTATTATTATGTGGAAATCATCTATATCTTTGTTAAAGCAATTAAATATTCAAAAGTTTTTTCACCAACATATTCACACAATTACATTTGGAGAGTTTATGCCGATTTTTATGTTTCTAGCATACATTTTTTTAGATTCAGTTATTTCATCTTCCAAGAAAAGATAAGTTTGATCATCAACAGTAAAATAATATTATAAGATAAAATAAACCATGTTTTTTTCGCTAATAAAGCCAGAAAAAAACACATATCCATCACCATGTCTTGAATCTTAGTACTAAAATTTGTCTAATTGTTTAATTCTAAATCTAAATCACATTTTTGGATAGTTGCAACAATGTAATTTTAAATGGTTATTTTATATAGGCTAACGAAAATATATTAGCATCCAACACTCAATATAGATGTTTTTATTTTGTATTCAGAATTAATACTAACGATTTGATAGGCAGCGGTTCTAAATCCCGCCATTGCGCAATTGGTCGTTAAGGGATGAAGTGACGTGGTGGGTATGATATGTATCAATCACCCCGTTGTGTGAGATTAGCAGACTTTGCAGGACTCATATCACATCCTGAGCTTAGAGCCAATCCTGTTACATGATTGGGAATCATCAGCGAACAACCCAATGTGCTCGCCACATTTTACTGCGAAATCGGATACAAAATATAAAAATATTTTGGATAAATATAACGATTTGTGGATAAGCTAGTTTTAAACAACTCTGTGTGGATTGTTGTAGTGTACAGATAGTGAAATGGAAAGGAATAAACTCTTTAGAAATTTAAGATGGTTTTCAACGTTATTTTCCTTCAGCATTTCTAAAATAAGGAAACTTTGGGATTTTTAATAGGCCATAGGCAAGTATAGAGTATGTTTGCTCTAGTCCCTCCAAGATAGAGTGAGTCATTCATATTCAGGGGGGATGTTTAATGAAATGGTTTGTTTACTCCTACTACATACCAACGACACACTCCTCTTTTCCTTAACTTGGTTGTTAAGTATCAAACGTGATTTTATGATAACCACTACAGGTGTTAGCCATTTTTAACTTATTATGATATACTAACCTTAATCTCTGGTACAAAATTCATGTAGAAAGCATGCACTCAAATATGACTAGGCCTACATCTGTACGGAATAAAATTATATTTATAGTTGAATTAAATATATTATTATTGTTTAGAAATTAGTCTTCTTATACTCTAGAAAGTAAGTTAAAATAGTTTAATTAATTAAATTATGTGTTAATTTAATCATTATTTTGATATTGAAGATGTTACCTTATAATTAGCCAATTTAACTTAGTGGACACAAATTTCCAAGAATACATCAAAGGAAATTTTAATTTTGAATTCATTCGTTTTTTTATTATACATCTCTTTAGAAAATATAATAACATGCTTGCTAAGATTATTCGCTGTTTTATCAGCATAAATGGCTTTCCTAAATGTGACAAACCACGGTTCTTACCAAACGTCTTTATTTAACTATGGTAGAAACATTCTTATTATTGTAAATTGATTTGGAAAATAATGTAGATAATTTAATTTGCGCCTGAAATAATAAAATATTAAATGAAAATACAATTGTATTTTGTTAATCTCATTTAGTATTATCACCATTATTTTTACAATTCTTCAACATTTCCTAGAGCATATCATTTAATTAAAACTATGGATAATAATTTTCTCATTCTAGGAAAGTTTTATAATTGAGATGTAAAATATTTAGACTTAATGTCTAACATTTGCATACCAATGTTCAAGAAGTCTTAGTAGCACTGAATTAAACAAGTACGGAGATTTATTCCATAAGTTTCATTTTATCATAAATAAATAAATAGTTCATAAATAAGAGTACATCAATACTGCCATCGTTAAAATTATTCTCTAAAACATGACGATGTAATTACAAAAGTAAATGGTATAATATTGTAAAATGAATAAAAATATAATTATAAAACATATCAAATAACTATCAGAGAATAGAACGGGGTTAACTAATGTTTGTAACACGATTTTTTAGTTATACCTGACCTTTGCGTTTGCAACGGTGGATTGACGCGAAAGATGAACATATCGTCATTTTGTTAGTCGTTATTAAGTGTAGTATGTTTAATTTAATGTATAAAATAGTTACGCACCCTGCCATTTATTTTAGAAACACAATTTAATTGAATGGTTTAGTTAATTTACGTATTCAAGTTCAGGTCAGTGTTAGTAACTTATTGAAATACTTAGTAGACTAGGTACCATACCAAGGCTTTAAAGTTTAATTAAAACAAAGTAATATATGATGTCAATATATCAATACCATTAAACATTTGCCTACCGGGAAAGAAATTGGGGCAAAAGTGTAAGTTAAATATTATGTTCTAAGTGTATTACTGGAGTAAATTGTGGAGTAATTTCATGTGTGGCATTCTTTCATAGAAGTCCCAATATTGTGTCATTAAAATTATTTATAAAGATATTTGTTTACGAGAACCACTAACCTAAACTTTCTAACTGGCGTATCTAGACTTATACTTTTCTAACTTTAACTATAATTTTAACTTTGACTTTTCTAGATTTATATAGTTTGTGTATTGTCAGACTTTAAGTTGGATAGGATTAGGTAATGCAAAAAACAAATAGAATGAAACCATTAAAAACCTTTAACAGCAGCGTATTTTACGTTTTACCTAGAGTGATAACATGCACTGTATAGAATCTCTAGGCAAAGTATGATGGGTTTTACTTCATACTTTGCCTGACTCGTTTTATGGCAATGAATTATAAATAAAATTATAAAATCAAATCATAATAAACCAAAAAATGTATTTATAAATAACAATTGTTTTTAAATGTTTAATGACAAAATCTATTTACACAGTACAAAACCATTTTGCCTTATATATCTATATTTGTGTATTTGTAATAAACAATCACAAATATGGACCAGCCATATTATTAAAATACACTTAATATTAAAACAGAAAATGTGAGTGGTAACCAATTTGTTGTTTTTGAACCTATATAACGTTTATTTTTGTATTTATATTTATAAAAACCAACTTTCTTTTAATAAATCAAAAATAATACTTTGGTACGTATACTTTCTTGATAAAAACTCGTTCCACAAAATTGAGCTATTTTGCATATTAAAAGTACAGGTTATTTGGGATACCTTTTATATCTTACACCTTCTATTAAATTGTGTTTACATATAACAAATATAAAGTGCAGTACACAATAATGTGCAAAAAATGTGATCCTTTGTACATTCAACATCCAAACATTTAACAATCATAAGTATGAATTTACAAAAATATTTAGATTTAAATTCTAGAAAGGCACTTTTGGCATTTAAACAATTAATTAAATTGAGACCTAACAAAACATCCTAATGACAACTTACTTTTCTTACATAACAATAAAGAAAATACAATGAAAAAAATTTTAATATTTTGTCAAAAACATCCCCCACAAGAGGTTTTGTAAGATTAAGTAAGCATTTTAATAATACTAGTAACTAAAAGATTTTTGTGTATGGGCCCAACATCGTAAACATGGTGTTTAACAAAATTCAAAATATTGTTTAACCAACATGACAATTATTAAGAAAATAGGTTTAAATAAAACGTTGTATAGCATTAAAATATTCACCATTAACATATTCACTATTAACTATTTGCACTTTAGTGATAGATATTTTGATATGTGGCATCACGTCATACGACAGTACTATTTACACGGTACTACAATACTATAATTACAAGGCACTTTATGGTTTTTATAGTCTTTATGGATATATTAGTATATTTCAAATACACAGTATCTTCTTCAATGGGATATCCAGATGGGAGAGCTGGCCCTATTTTTCCAAACCAAAGATATAATTAAAAACTCGTTCCATGTTTCTGTCAAATTCTACACTAAATCAGATTTCAATAAACTACACAAACAAACGTATTTAGAGTAAACTTGATCCAAGTGAAATAATTGTGTTTACCTATTCCAGAAATGTTTAACATGCATGCCAATAGATGAAGCTAAAGATATTGTTATTTGGCAGAATTTTACAGAAAACTCGTTGTTGCGATGGGCATTGAGTGGAGATTAATATTTCCTTCATTTATACTACCACTCTCAGATGACTTTAACAGCTATGATTTTTATATACCTACATAGGGTTGAGTATTATTACAGATACAGTTTTAATTATCTGTATGCAATAAATTATCCTGAGATAAATATAACCAATGTTTTCAGATGAATTGGCAACTCACTACTTTAACTTGATTGTTAAGCCCCAAATAGAAAACTGTCCTAATAAGAGGAGACGAGAGTTTGAACTTTAGATGTACCGAATATGATCCATGGGAACCGGGCATGAGTTACTCTTGTAATATTAATAATTTATTCCATATCATACTTAGACAACATTCCTAATTAGTAGACTACTAACAGTCATTACATCTTACCATTCAACTTTTCCAATTTAACTACCTTCGTGTTTCCCTCAAACATTGAAGCTGTAGTGTTTGGGTTTTCTTTGACCTATCATCAATGCCATGGTATATATCCTGCTCAAACCCCTTCCATTTTCATATTGTTTTGCACCAATCTTTACATTTCTCTAAATACAAAGATGTGTATCGCTGTTAAGCCCTATAATCGCTATTCTAGCTAAATCTCTCCTATAACCAACCCCTGATTGAGCACATCCTACGCAGGGGTGATAACCAACACATCTCTCCCATCTGGCTCCCTGAAGAATGTTCATATGTGGGAATCCATGGGGTAACGATCTACATTCGCGTACATTCCCCGTATGGCTTCTCTGGACGGTGGTCTTCTAGGGGGCGGGTTCCCGTTCTGGCCCAGTGTAGGGCCTCCGAAGAGGCCACCATTCTGCATGTTTGTCTGGTGATAGTTGTTGATTGTAGAAGCTACATCAGTGATAGCCCTCGGAGGGCCTGCAGGGCCGTAGCCGTTCATATGTACTGGGACTGGACCATCGTCAACGTCCTCCAGGTCATGGATTACTGTGTGGTCTGCATGATGGTTGGAAAGGTGTCCGTTAGGGACCTGGGTTGGGGGTTCCGGTACAATCATACCCTCGGACTTTTTTAGACGTTCGATCTCCTGTAGAACCAGTTTGGTAAAGTCCTCTTGCACTTGGGGAGAATCTGTGTCACCATCAACCTGTAAAAACGTTTCAGTCATCCTGTAGAATAAAGGAGAAATGTTTCTAATAAATTTTAGAATAACAAGATAAGCTTCGCTATAAGTTGTATTACACCTAAAATACAGTACAGGGTTTAAAACTTACCATGCAACGTCCGAAAATAGTGTGTATCACAACATCTAAAATCAACAGGTATAAGCTTTGAATCTCCATAAATCCCACTTATGCCTTACCTAAAAAGGTACATTTTATAGACGTGTGTTTAAAAATTGTCTGTGTACTTAAAATGACAAAGTGTGTAATGTCTGTTTTTGGCTATGCTGTAGGACCGTATATTCTAACATAAAATAACAGTCGATGCGTATGTGGATAAAAATTAATGACACTTACCCATTAAAATGAAATATGAAAAATAGGGGATTACTTCTCAGCTTTAGCCTTGTCATACGGCAATAATTACGCAACGGTCTATTCATAGTCAACTACACTGCAAGGTACATTACATACATTAAATAACCATATAACATATGGCAGGTGGTCTTTATAATTATGTAGGAGACTTTACTACTTTTACTTATTATGATAAATTGTAAATCCTATAAGAAATAATCATTTGCAGTTGTATGTTAAATATATACATTAATATTGAAAACTCACAATGCTAAGTCGGTTCTCATTATCCATTGTTTTGAGCATTGGTAGAGTCTTCTCCCTGAACAGTTCCAGTCTTCTCCTGAAGGCGGCGATGCTGTCGTCCAGCCTGCCTCTGCCTAGCTGCAGCTTGGAGCAGTCCAGGAGGATGAGGTTGGGCTGCTGCTTGAACTAGAAACAGCAACAAAATCATGGACCTCACATAAAATCCAGCTTAAGAACTAGCCGTGTACGACTGTTTCAATGTCATGTTACTTAATCAATTGTCAACCAATTTTAAGGGATGACAGAATTTATAAGGATAGCCTACTATACAGGGTGATCAACTCCAGGAGGCCACCATTGGGATATCGAAAACGGTAAGAATTAGAGAAAACTTTAAATGGGGGACATTCCTTTATTTTTTGTGGCAGTTAGAAATATGATTTAGTTTTTTTTTTAATTCAGCCGCCATTTTCCAAAATGGCGGCCAACTTTGAAGTTTCTTATAGAACACCCTATATTTTATCATGTTTTCAGATAGAACAGGCAATTTAAAAACTTTTTTATTCCTGACATTTTTTCGATAAACCCACTCGTTTAGGAGTTACAGCCTATGGAAAAATGACTTCCGGTGAACATTTTACATCATGTAGCTCCTAAACAAGTAGGTTTATAGCGAAAATGCGATGAGTAAATAAGTCAAATAAGTCTTAAAATTGCATCCACATTCCATAAAGACCATAAAATACACAGTTTTCCACTTTTCAAGTTTGCCGCCATTTTGGAAAATGGCTGCCATTTTTAAAATAATAGAATTAATAGTTTTAACGAATTTAATGGTCTTTATGGAATGTATTTAGAGGTGGTCTAATACATATCTTTATTATGTATTAGAGGTGGCTGTGGTTAAACTCAACTTGCATAATTTTAACTGCAATATTTTTCTTTCATAAGTTTTTCAACATGGAGCTCAATTTCTTTTATGTATAAATCATGGAATGTTTCACACAAGTACATTTAGGCATAATTGCGTTGGTTACATCTCAAACAATCTTTTACAGGTTGTAATTTCCCTAGAGGTGTTTAACCAACCACTTACCTTATCTTCAAAGTATCTGACTTGATCTATGTCTCTTGGGAAGCCGTCGATGAGGATGCCTTGGGCGTTCATGTTGGTATTAAGATGAGTCTCTACAAGCTGCAGTACAGGGTCCTGGAACCAGGATATGAAATCAAATTTTAAAAGCAAATTTTTGTTAAACTTATGTTTACTTAACAATATCTGATTTTGAATTTCATATTTATACGTAGTGGTTAAAATACCAGATGATTTTATTAACGTTGTTGTGATGAATGTGACTTATTATTTACTGTTAAGTGTTTAAAGTTGCAGAAACATTATGAAATACATAGTAAATAAGAAACATAACTAAATAACTGGAAGAAAACATACGTTAATCCTAAATCTATCTGTTAAGAATTATGGATCTATAATAGACCATAGGTGATCCATGGAGCTATTTGTAACTTCAACTAATATTAAAGAAATTTAAATGTTCACCATTTCAATATATGGATTTTAAATCATGTAGCTCTTCTATAACCACAATTCTGTTATTATATAATTACCTAAGCTGGTAATAGAAATTCCTGGAACCGTAATTTAAATCTTGTCAGTAGTAATAACTCCAAACATATTACAAAATCAGAAAATATAAAATCAGTTTCAGTACAATAATTAAAAACCAAATCAATAAAAATGCTAATGCATGCTTTATCTAGTATCATTTATCGTATTTATTTATTGTATCATTTATAAGGATAGTCACAATATATAGCTAATTAGGTGATATCTTTTTGTGCAAAAAATCTACAAACAGCAGATCTAAGTTCATGGTCCACAAAATACGATTAATATAGTTACAAAATAACCTACATTATAGGTCAATTGGAAATGCAATAGAAATTAGTTGTACTAATTGTAATGCTTTCAATAATACTGACTGACCTTTTCGTAAATCGTAATTAGATAAATTGATTGTTCTTGTAATATCACAACTCTATTGATCTCTAATTGGTTTATTTAATCAGAACTATAGAGTTGATTATATTTACAAACCAAGTCAAAGCTTCTTTATTTTTCTATTTTCTGATAACTAGTACACGAGTATTGTTGGAACCACGTCAATTCCATAGATTAGTAAAAATATAATATTATTAGTTGTATACCTTAATTTTGTTTCATAATTTTGCTTTATAACCCACTCATACTTTAGTAGTTTGAACTCATTAAAAGTCATTTTTCTATCATAAGAGTAAGTACAAACATTTGTGTTTCAATGAAGGTTAAAAGAAGGATTATTAGTGTAATGTTTAATTGTTAATATTGTAACCATATAGGAACAAAATGAGTACAGTACTGCATAAGGTTGCTATTTTGACAACAGCATCGTTATTTTACAAAAGACTAACGAAGAAGGGTTTCCAAACGGTAACGATGACAATGATTGCCATGCTTTTGCCACTGGTTGGTTTTCACCAAATAACTCTTGGTCTCCACCAATGTATTTTATTATATATTGTTGTTTATTATGTAAGAATAAATTTTATCTCTAATCTAAAAATGTGCAAACCTTTTGGGAGCAATATGAGCTATGACATTAAGAATATTTTGTAGGTGAAATAAATTTATTTTATTTAGTTCAGTGTACAATCCTTCTTTTACTTCAATATGCTGTATATAAAAAAAGCTATAATTACTGTGAGTGTTATTCTGATGTACGTATTATACAGTGCGTATTGTATCTAATTGTTGAATAATTAAACAATAGCTACAATTAGGAGATCATATTACTAGTCTCAAAGAATACTTTTGAAGTAAAATGTTTTGTTATGTATAGTATATTGTGGATTTTTGCTGTATTGTTAAATGGACCTGGTCCATCTGAACTCATTAAAGTCCACAACTCAATATAGAACATTGACATATTACAACAACAAGGGCTAGGTGTTTAAATGTCGAAAAGAGTTTGTAAATGTTTTGAATCAAATTATACAGGTTTAAGCGAATTTCACCATATGGGGAACAATCTATTGCCATAGGTGTCATGGTAAGACCTGGATCCGGGACCAATTTACTTTTTCGTTTTCAGGTTCCAAAATTCGCCAAAACAATACGATTTTGAAATTTGTTATAAACGTGTAAATCCACATTTATTCAAAGGGGTTCGCGAATCCGCATGATCGGACAGTTGAAACAGTGGTGAAGGGGGGGAGGGGTTTATGGGGTAAAAATGGGGTTTTTAAATTTGTCGCCCTAAAAAACATAAAAATCTTGATTTCTTTTCCAACCGTTTTGTAGATCTCAAAAAAATAACAAATAATTTTGTATATTGAAGCATTGCTGTATGCCTAATGGTTACAGAAAAAAAAACAAAAAAAAGTGTAAATTTAAAATTATTACGTTATTCTTATTGAAAATAAATAAACTATTGTAGATTGCTTGTCTATGAACACAATTTTGTGAAATTTGTAAAGTGTGTTTACTTCATACTAAGCTATCGATATTCCCTGTATTCCCTGTAGATATATTGTCTATGTTGTATCGATATATTGTATTCCCTTTAGTAGCAAACCTAAGTACTCATTAAAACTAATAATATTTAATAAGGAAATAAATCTGCCAATTTAAGGGAATTATTTAGTGGAATTCCAGCCAGGTAGATGAGAATTCGCTTAGTCTGCAGGTCCGCTGCGGTGGGGGTATTTTATATTCATTTTGACACCAACAACAGTCTCATTTTTCACCGCAGTCAATTAGTTTACCTGGGTTACTAAGTCGCCAGCGACAATAGCCTTGCGGATCTCCTGTGTGTCCGATGCCACAGGACCCTCCTGTACGTCAGCAGCTGCCCTCAGCATCCTGCCTACACTCAGCGACACCCATCCCTGCGCCTGTCTCACCGCCTTGCTGCACAGGGTAGACTTGTTGCTGCCTGGCCCTCCTAAACATTGCAGCATGCTAAGTGTTAAATAATGGCATCAAATTCCGTGTATACTATTTGTTAAAAAATTTATATCCAAAAGCTATTTGCCGGTGTCAATCCTTATACCGATGACTACTTTTAAAAGAGTACGTTGTCCCATCATCAACATTTCCCAATCGAAGTATTTTTCAATTTATTTATTTACGTATACACCATTTTTACAGAAAAATACAGGATTTTTTTGTTACAAACATCTAGTCACAAAGATTATTCTTTATTTACAATAAATAATCGTGTTTGATATAGAGGACAAAAGAATTCCACAATAAGACAACCAAGACAATGCTAACGAAGCCTTGACTTGAACCGTTGGAAAACTATAGTTTGATAACAGTGAAGTTAACATAATCTCTATATTTTGTAACAAATTCCATTAAAACCTAAAGTCGAGGCAGCTTTAAGAACTGTTTAAATGTTTTAGCCAAATTTTCTTCATTACTTTATTAGTATATACTAAGAAAAGAAAAATACATGCCTCATTTTACCAAAAACTACATTCCTTCCTTAGACTTATAATTTGAAACCATAAAGTAAATGTAGTTACCCTTACATGTAGGAGTCATAATAACTTAAAAGTACATTTGTCTTTAAATATATGACTTTTCAAATAATACAAGAAAAAGGGCATTGGCCTTTTTATTTATTAAAAGAAACTGGAATCTCAGGCTATTCCGGATCTTGTAAACAACTCCAAAGCAAGTTATAAGTTATTCAGTAGCATTATTCCCTTCCTGGTGTGACAGAAAGTGCGGGAAAATATTATACCATCGACAAGAGTATACCCAATACAATATACATGATACCTTATATTTTCAACTTATGGGTTATATTATAGCTTAATAGAAATTAGATGTCACTATTATCTTTTGTTGCGATTTAGAGATATAACTGTTTAACGTTAATATAAATTTCAATAAAAAACATTCACACTAAAGACCTTTTTGTCATTTTGACACGAAAACTATTTGACGTAATAAAACTTTACACAGTAAGAACACGCATAAGTCATAGAATATTATAGATGTATAACCATAGATTATAGGTTTGATCTATGTTATTATTACATTCTGACCATTAAAATGTGTATAACCTAAACAAATGAGCTGCATTACACTTTGAATCATTTTTTTTAACTTCTTGAAATACCTATATCGAATATTATCTACTAAGCCACCCTAAGTGATCATTAACCATCAAAGAGCATTGAATTTCTAACCAATATATGTTCTACGTACCTATGACCCATACAACAGGTGGGTACCCCTTGGTTGGAGGTTGGTACACAGATGCTGTGGTGGTGTGGGGCGCCACCATACTAAGGGGCGCCACGTCCGGCATGTGCGCCACCCCGTTGGGCACCCCCGCCACCACTGTCTTGTCTTGCGACCCTAGGAACCTGAGCACTGCTACTCGAAAGTCTGTGTAAACTTCAGTCGGATGTCTCTCCCCATTTATCTGCAAAGAATAAATCACATTTTATTTTTATCATTTGGATGTAGCATTTTTATTGGAGTTTTGAGAGCGACGCAGTCTTATTTGCGTATTTGATATGAATGCAATATGTCTATCGCATAGAGTGAGATGAACCTTAGGGGTTTATCACTGATTGCAACCAATTGTTTATCTAGCCAAGCCAGGTTTTTGAAACCCCGTTGAATAAGGACCACTAGGCAAAGTTTCAAAACATCACTAACGTTTTCCATGATTGAACTGGTGATAATTTTCATGTGCACCCTATAAGTTACTCAGCTACACAGCAAGATCTCGTAACTACAAAAACCAAAATTAAATGTAAGGTACTGAGGTATTTTATAGGAACTACTGTTTACTCAATAACTGTCATATGATTATTTTCTTAGTTATTTTCCGTAATTATTTGACCCGCGAAAAAAATCTGCTAGCTTTCGAACCATTTCATTTGTGCATCATGTTATTATTTTATCATTATCATGTAATGATTACTTTTTATTTTTTTCCCTAACGTATCCAAAGTGTTTTCATACAGGTAAATGTATCTAACTATGCCATTTCAAAACCATCTGACTTTCACTAACCTACTAACCTTAAAAGCAATTACCCTACACTTTAAATAGAAAAGTGGCGAGGAAAATGACATGGTAAAAGATATAAGTGGTTACAAGGGTCAAGGTAATTATACAGGGTTGTGGAGGGGGAGTGGAAGCTACTGCATACTTGATACTGGCGTGACACAGCCGTATTGATCAGCTGTTACCAGATTCCCCAATGACGGTCATCTTGAAAAATTAATGAAATGTTGATGACTGTCTATAATCTTGGGAAAGATCAGGTGAACTATCATAATTCACTGGTTTATGATAAGGGAAGTGATCATTATGTAAATGCAGATGATGTTTTAAGATAAGTCGTTGGATTGGTGATGTTGTAGATTTAAATGTATAAAATCCCTGAATAAATCAATTTAAATTTATAAGGTAGGTAAAAAAAATGATGCTCAGTTGTGTTTTATTTTCTACTTTAATATATAAGCAGCTATATTTCGCAACACGTAAATTTAAAATAATTGAGTAATATTTTAAATTAAACTAGTAGTGAAACTCGGTTTTGTCCAGGTACAAATTAATGTATATTAGTGGTTATGGCATCACTTTTTTTTCCATAGGCGTACACAATTCTTGGTGCCAATTAATTATGAAATATGTGAAATATTCTTTCTCTACGGTAGAGAATTTGATAACATTATTGTTAAAAGGCACATAAAAATAAATAAGGTTTTTTCAGACCTGCGGAATTTGATAACCTTATTGTTAAAATGCACATAATAATAAATAAGGTTTTTAAGACCTGCGGATAAAAACATAACCTGCGTAAAAATATATTCTCACAGTTTTTATGAGAAACCCATCCTTGTAAACAAAAGTTACGTGGCCACCTATTTATTTACCTGTTATGCATTTTAAATCAAAAGATTTTACAGTGAAACAGCAACTTTGTCGATGTGAAAACCCTTGAAGCGAAACTAATAACTAATTTGCACATTGGTTATAAGTAGCTAGATACCACCTTCAATTTTATACTAACCTTATCTTACCTCTGTGGCCATTCAAACCTTAAGGGGTTTTTGGCTTTGCCAACTAACGACACACCTCAATTTTCTTCATCACCTGCCTCTTCTATAGTAGACACTAGTTTGGGGAAACTTCATTCTTTACGTGGTTTACCGACTTCGTTTTCGTCCAAGTGATCGTCTTCCTTGTGGAATACGCTTGGAATATTTTTTTGGGACATTGTAATAGACTTCCTTCAACCATGCATAGCCTATCCACCCGAGCATTTCAATTTTGAAAAGCACCCTTGTTCCTGGGTGTTTTCTTAATTTTTCGTAGCTCTTTGGCACTTTTTTATAGATAAAAAAATGATATTCAAGTCGAATTTTACAAGGTTTTATATGGATTCTACCATTAAAGCTAAACTCTTTCTAACAGAATATTAAATGCAAATAAAAAATCCATTACGAATGACATTATGTTAAATATAAGATGAACAAATGAGATTGTAAATGGAAATGCCAAGAAATTTTGGAAAATCTCAAATTGACTGTTTCTGGAAGGAAAAGTGAGATATAGCTCTCCAAATTGTGTATTTTAATCTTAATTTGCCCGCATAATAATCCCTTAAAATCTTAGACTCTAACTACCAAACACCCTGTATATATAATATATCCTTTACAAGATTTAGCGTGGAGACTTTTGTACTAAGCCAGCAACGTTGAAAAGTGAGTGTTTCCAAAGAAACAGATTTGACTAGAAGCTACAAATGTCCAACACCAAAGTTTGGCAGTTGTTGATGCGTCCATTACCTGTTGTAAACCATTACGTGAACGACTTGACTAGACAAAGGTAGTAATGGAGTTTAATGTTAAATTGATTACTGCCTTAACAATATAATAAGCAACTGGGTCAAGCAATATTACTTTATGATCGATTGTCAGCCCCAAGCCTTGCCTTTTGTTTATAGACCTTCAACCCACTCGACAAACTGTTCACTTAGTTTACAAGTCTCGACCTAAGTCTTATGATCATATAATTGTTATTTATACTTTTTATTGTTACTAAAAATTAAAATTCAACAATGCAGGTAAGTAATAATACAAATCATGGCCTATTTTAGATTTTAAAAAAGTAGCTTATGTTTAGCAATAAATATTACTAGCTCTTGTTTAGGATGCTTAAGAAATGTTTACCTTGAAAAAAACTGTACTTTGGATGATAGTGAGTGAGTAGTTTTTACAACTATTTTCAAATCTTTGTTTTTGTCACCCTAGTTAAACTAATTTGGTGCTCGGTATGGTTTTAGATTAAGTGTAGGCTATTTATTTTTAGTCTGCAAACCCCCCCCCCCCCAGATGTGTTAAACTTTCATGCAATTAATGTATATTATTTTAACTGTAAATTACTATATATCTGATTTAAAGTAGTAAATATGGCTCCCAATCGTAGCTTTTTAAAATATCTTTACTATGAGTATAAATTGCGAAATTTACATTATACGTAAAAGAATAAACAACTTTTCGTTTAACTTTCGGTATTTATGTACAAGCTAAATGTCTTAGAACCACTCGCATAATAGAATTTCGACTTTCAAAAAGTATTCAAATCCATATTACGGTAGGTAAGAAGTACTAGGTACTAAAAAGAAATTACTTAAGACAATTTAAAAGAATAGAAATCAGTTAAACCTAATCATACGGTAGAAACCTTCAGGTTAAAGGTAAATTAAAGAAAATGTCTTTGGACGAAAACTCTACATTTAAACGAAAGAATTTTCATCTTGCTTGAATAACTAAGCAAGCCTTAAACAAGGTAACTTAAACAAGAATCGCCTTCTGGTTAGAATACTTAAACATATGCACCTCAAATTGTGCCCTTTAAAAAAAACCAAACAACATTCAAATATTAGTTTAGATTTACAATTATTACTTGATTATTTCAACGCTACACAAAATATGTTTTCAAGGATTAGCAACAATTTAAATATAACAACCCAAACTATATACCTTCCGATATGATTTTGGTCTGTATATTACGATTGGTATCACTAATTTAAAAAATAACACTTGCATTTACCTTTTTTTGATTGGTTGTGAAAACCTATATTGTTGTACGCCTAACGCCTAAATTAATTTTAGATTCACAAGACAGTAGGAAGTAGATTAAAAATGTTATCATATTAAGTTCGTAGTATTAATGTCAGAGTAAATTTAATGGTTCAAAGAAAGATTAACACTAACCACATTTCCCAAATCAGATACGTTAGAAGCTAAATACTACTTTAACCGCCACCACTTTACAAAACTCAAGATCTAAGTGTCACTAATTATCGGAAATGTAATTAGTTTCAAAGCCGCAAGTTAATTCAACTTTCTTGTAGCTGATTTAACGTTCATCACTCAACGCAAAGTTGGTAACTGAGTTACTCAAAAGCTGTTATAAAAGGCTTAATGTGACCCAAAAATTGATCATTATCATAACTTTGTTTAAACTAACACAAATTACTTGGTCGTTTAGTAACAGCTTACTTGCTAAATAAATAAGACAAATATTTATTTGAGTTAAGGTGTTCCTGGGGACCAAGCTTTGCTAGGGGGAAATCATTAGTGTACTTTGAGAGTATTCTTCAATGTCATTTATCTAAATATTCTTTTATGTCTAGGGTGAATACCTTGTTGCCAACATAACCCTTGGTGGTCTTAATGGCTACCGGTTATGACAAACTTAGAGTATCATTGTCAAACCTAGACGACACCTTAAGTTTGTTGAATGCGGTAGCCATTGAGACCACCAAGGGTTATGTTGTCAACAAGATACCTCTGCATTCGTAATTGTTAAGTAATCTGGAACACCTCAAAAATGTATACGTTTATATGTTATTTTTGGAACTAACGCACCGTATAATCAAAACGTATAAATATATAATAATATCATACATTAAGGACAAAAATCTTTAATATTCCATAAGACCCTTTACTACCTTAAGGTCCATTTCCTATCCTGCGACTGTTACGACTCTAGCCGCATGGCCCTAGCCGCGCGTCTAGAGCCGTACGACTGGAGACGCTTCTCGCACATATGCATCCTTGTATTGGGGGTGTTTGGGGTTAAAAACAGATGGGTGTTGACGCACAAGTTCAATTAACCTTGAATCATCCATGATTTTGAAGGCACACACTTAAAACTCAGTATTAACTATCAAAAACCACACAATCAAACAACTCAGTATACTATCAATTCGCACCTCAACTCCGTATGTATGAACTATTTCGTTACAGCCGCGCGACTGAGCGACTGAACTGCTCACGGAGTGCGGCTCGAGCCGTCGCGACTGGACTGCTCCGTGAGCAGTTCAGTCGCTCAGTCGCGCGGCTGTAACGAAATAGTTCATACATACGGAGTTGAGGTGTGAATTAATTGATAGTA